GAAATTAATGCTTTCTAAGGTAAGTGATTTTTAATTGAAGGTTAAGAGTACGAGTGCATTCTCGATCTAGTTCATACTTAATTATTATTATACTCGATTTCATATAAGTGTTTAGCAAACTGAAGCATTCTCTCCCCCCCCCCTCTCCCTCTGTCTCTCTTATTCCATCAAGCTATTATGAAAGTATATCGTCGGTGAAAAATGCTCGTGCCACCTATTTATTGTAATTTTGTAAAATTGCTTTTGTCATGCTAAGCGGACTTTACACGTAAAGTACACTTATAAGGCTTACGAGCGAGCGAGTTATTCTCCTGGCTATTTTGCGAGCTCACTGGTGACTGCAACTCCTACCTTGCAGCTTTCAATTTTGAAAATGTTTTCTTTTTTTTTTACCGTCTTCTTATTTGAATAAGCAATAAAATTGTGAACGGGAAATTTCGTTTAATCGAAAAATCCCCATCAACGACAAACTAAACAAGCGTTATAATCTTGAAATTAAATATGTCGTGGTTTTGAAACTCGTCGCAGTTACAACGATACCGATCTCTTTTATATTTAGAATATCTCGCGGGCATCATACTTATTCAAATACATCATTGAAATTCATCCGCGGGAGATATTTTTGAGAGCCGTTAAAGTCCGTTGCCCCGCCGGAACGGGGTCTCGAGCACGGGAATATTAAAATTTCAGCTTCAGATAGGTAATGCCTGGCATCGCGAACCCATCAAAAGGTAGTTTCCCAGTGGGCAGAGGCAGAAAAACAGAATCCTTAAAGGGCTAACTGTGAAGTTCTTACACATCGTGGCGGTGGAACGACGAGGCGGAGGCGGCCAAACGAGATAGGAGTCACATATCCAGTGGAAAAATCAATTGTTCGCCTCTAAGCCGTATAATTTTCATTTCCATAAGTTGCTGCTCGCTCATACGGACGTATGTATGCATTCATAATGACGTATGAATATTCCGCGAGGGAGGCAGGGCATAAAATTTTGTCAAGAGCGGTCGGGGATATCGGCTCGCGTTGCCCGGATGCGCTTGCGCGGAGGATGCGCCCAAGCTTTTTTACGAGATGCCCGTAAGCGGTGTAGCGCTAGGTTGCAATCTCCGATTATCAATACGTTCATCTTCCCGCTAGTCGCTCGGCCATAAAGCCATTTTACTGTTCTTTTGGCGAGGAACGCGTAACTGTCCTAGAAAGTACGGAGCGCTACGTGGCGAGCGAGATTCGTTTCTTCGATCGCGATGCCGAGCGCCGGGACCCTCGAGCTTCTTCTTCTTATCGACGCGCTCGCCCATTGAATAAAAAAGAAAAAAGAAAAAAGAAAAAAAAAAGAAATGGGAAAAAAATGAAAAAAACATTAAGTACTACAAAAGAAAGAAAATGGACGAAAAAACAAACAAACAAACAAATGGTTTTCGCTTAAACACCGAGCCGCTTATTTGACGTCTGCGTCTGCCTACGCTCCTCCGCTCTACCGCTCCTCCCGATCCTCCCGCTCCTACCGCTCCTACCGCTCCTACCGCTCCACCGCTCCTCAGCTTCGAAACGCGCGCGCCTCTTTATGCGGCCGTTTAGCCTCTGGCGCGCAATATTAAATGCACACGTTCGCAACACGCTTTTGAATTCTCGGCGAGTTTTTCTCCCTGTCAACGTTTGCTCCGCGATATAATAATATCCCTTTACTCTCCCGAGGTCACTACTCCCAGCTCGGCCGTAATCGCCTGGGCCCTTAAAAACTGCCGTGAAAACTGCTAATCGTCATCGCTGCGCGCCGCTATCGTTTAAGTAACAGTCGTACCCACAATTTCTTTCGGCGTCTGTCGCTAAAAACTATTCGTCGCGTGGGCGCTTCTAAATAATTTACGATCTCTGGCTCTAGTCCATTGTAATCGGCGATAAAATGTTCGTATTGCCCGTGTCACTTAAATGTCCCTTTAAGCGCCCGCAGTCTATGTATTTCAAACGACACGACTTCACTTGAGAGTGAATAGAGTGCAGCTAAATATGATTGATTCGAGCGTAACGGCCGATCGACTGTTTGCGAATCAATTGGAATATTCGTGAACTTTATGATTTTTTGTTGTTGTTGTGTTTGTTTTTGTTTATTGTGCTATCGATAACTAGAATACAAAAAATATAAAGAAAAGTCTGGGAGTCAATTGCGACGGGGATTATTAAAGAACAATATTTGCGATACAATGCCAATGCCAAGGCTCGCGCGCAAGAGAAATTGTCATATAATTAATAGACGATAAATTTTTATTTATTCTTTTGATTCTTTCGGCAAAATGTGGAACAGCGTGTAGCATTGTATTCGATGCGAGCGGGGCAAATTCGTGGTTTGCGCACGCGCATATAAATGAGCTGGCGGATGCTATAGGACTGCTTATGCATGCGTCTATGCGTTGATCGCCCGTCCACGTGACATATCATGCATAAGTTTATGCAGCACGTGGCATTGATAGCGATGTTTCTTTGAGCTGAAACTACTTTCCAGCTCGACCCATATGACATTTTTCCGGCACTCCTCTCTCTTTCTCCGCTTTATGCGCGCACCAGTTTCGTCTCTTGTATGTCCTCGAGTTCTCCCGACTCTCTCTCTCTCTCTCTCTCTCTCTCTCTCTCACACTCTCACACTCTCTCTCACTCTCTCTCTCACTCTCTCTCACTCACTCTCTCACTCTCTGTCGTGCGCGCTCAGCGAATTTTTCTCATCTGCAAAGGATGCTCCGTCGCTCCGTGATTATAAAGCTTTCTTTTATTGCGAGTTCGATGTCGATATGGTCAACTGCGTTACTCATGCCCCTACAAGAAGAAATATTAATCATTCGATAAGCTCCTGACATCAAATTCGTATGCTCCATTTCGTCGGACTTTGAAAAAGCGCTAGCTCGTTTTTCATTCTCCTTGTATTCAAACAACAATGTATTAAATTTAATTAATGTAAGTATCGGTAATTCCATTGAAAACTTTATTACAATAAAAGCCAATCTTTCGCGAGATCTCGCTCTCAGCAAATAAATGAAAACTAACGTTTTCCTCGGTTATACTTGACTTATTCCCATTATTGAAAATTAAAATTTATTCCTAACGTATTTTATTTAGGTGCTTTAATTTTTATGAAATATTCATTGACTTATCGCAATAAAAGCAACCTCAAACAAAACATAAAAACAATAATTTCAAATATCCAAGTAGATGAAAAATTGTTAAAGTAACTCAATTTATGAGTAATTTCTTCGGTTAAGGCAAATCTAGTGGTCGTTCCACTCCTATTTTCTTAACTTCCTGCCTTCCTCTCTTCCTACAACAAATCTTATTTTTGTCTCACTATCTACCCTTCCTTCGTTCCTACGTTCGTCCGTTCGTTCGTTCATTCGTTCGTTCGTTCGTTCGTTCGCTCGCTCGTTCCTTAGTTTGTTCATTCGTTTTTTTATCTCATTCTTTCTTTATTTCTTTCCTTCCTTCCTTCTTTCGAATACTCGTACACGTACGAGATAGATAGGAGCTCGATACGTAAATTCTTCACTTTGCGTGTTTTCTTTCTCCTTCGACTTATTCCTACCTCTCTCCCTGTGCGCTCTGTAGTGCTTACAACATATCTGTTTGCGGTTGAAATTATTTCTCTTAGATCCTGGCTATTTCAATTACACTATAATCAGATTTTATAAACTCATCAAAATTCATTACACATTATTTTACATAATTTTTATCATTATTCTATTATATTATAATAGAATTTTCATACAATATAGAACTAATAAAGTAATATAAAATATAAAAATATATAATATGATGATATAAAAGAACAAACTAATATAATAAAGAATATAATGCGCAATACAACTTACATTTATTTTTAGTCGCTCGATTTCGTCTAGTCTCAATTAAAAGGATATAACTAATATTCAAGATATTACCGATTGGAATTTACATAGTAATTGTAACAGTTGAATGAAATTTAAATTTTAAGCCGCCGATATAAGTTTTCATTCGACTTTACATATCATAAAATAGTTAAATTAATCAAAGTTGCTATGCTAGTCTTTTCGAAAGGATGCTTGACGCTGACAGAATGGCACTTAAAATATATGCTCTAATCCTCAAAGAAAGGACGTCCGGCGACTTTCAAACAGCTCTGTTCGTACCCAGATCTAACAATATTCATCAACAAGCAAAGTTGTAATAATAAAATCTATCCGTTGACACCCAATTTCTCATGAGAGATAAACGAAGTGAAGGATAATTTTCCAAATTTTAAAATCGAAACTCGAAAGTGTACTTTAAAAGAATAAACAAAGTGTCGGTAGTTGGGACGACTTTGCGGTTATTTCCCACCCGACAGTAAAAAAAAAAAAGAAAAAAAAAAGAAAAAAAAAGAAATAGCATTGCAATAGATTTTCGTATACTTCATATATCTTTACTGCCGCAAACTTTGAAGGTCTTTTTCAACTTTCAATTTTAACCCCCCCCCCCCCCCCCCCCCCCCCGGCAACAAATGAATGTAACAAACGGCAAATGACGCTTCTAGCTTCAAACGTTATCACTGCTTTTTGTTTTGTTTTGTTTTTTTTTAATTTTTGTTTTATTTAACGTTGCACACATCCCAGTTCTCGTGGCATAAATGAAAAATATAAATAACGGTATTTTCCGGGTCACAAGGAAAGTCTAGAGGAGTATAGCCGGTGTTAAAGCATCGTACCCCGTCTTTTAGCATCTTCGCGCGAAAATCTTCTCATCTGATTTTCACGTCACTTAACGTCGCTTTTACGTCGCACTATCTCGTGCAAAACTCTTCCCAATGCAGTATCATCGTGCCCTGCAATTCTATTGTGAGCGGGGCAGGGGGGGCAGGGAGTGGGGTGAAATCGCAATAATAAAGAAATTTAACGGCTCGCGTAGAATAATGGCTTGATGAATGGTGGGTAGATGGTGGGCGATACATATCTGGCAAAGAAGCCTCATAATGCACAGATGGCGTATACGGAGGTTCACTTACCTCGCTTGCACTCGTGTAATTAGTCGTGAGCTTGATTTGCGGTCGAATCTTGCCGGGCGACTCGCGGGTCTCCTTGGCCGAGGTCGTTGTGGGCGTGGATGTGCCGAGGCTCGACTCCCTGCTGCTCGACGGTGTGCTTAAGGAAGTCACGCGCTTCGTCGTCGGGGTGTGGGCCGAGGAGCCGCTGCTGGTCGTACTCTTGACGCGGGGCTCGATCGCGATGCTAGCGACCGGGGCCACAAGCCCGGCCGCCGCCGCCGCCGCCGCCGTTGTCGTCGTCGTCGTCGTCGGCAACGCCGTCTTCGTCGTCATCTTTGCCGTTGTCATTGTCGCCGCCGCGTGGGTCATAGCCACGGGGGGGACCGGAATCTTGCTGCTACCGGTCATCGAGGCGACGGTCGCCGTCGTCGACGTCGAGGTCGCGATGGCCGGGCTCGACGCACTGCTCTTCTTCGGCTGGCTCGTCAGTTTGCTCGTGTTGGGATTCGGGCTCGAGCCGAGAGCTGCCGAGCAGCAAACGATCAGCATAAGGAGCACCAGCCGCACCGAGGTGGACCGCGCCATGACGAAGGCTGCTGCTGATAACACGACAGTTCGACCACGCGTACCGCCTCTCGTGTCCACGCCACACTCTGCAACAATTTTAAAAGAGGTCCGTGAGCGCGTCTCCTCACACGCGGATAATTTCTAAACGCTCTAAACGTCGTCTGCTGGTCTACGACGTCCCTAGAAATGGATCTGGATTGCATAGGCTTGAAACGTGGTGAGGCGAGAATGGTGGGGGAGGCGTAGGTCGAAGAGAAAATGAAGTGTGATTCTTAAATGGAAACCAAATTTTGCAAGCACAAAGTATAGCTCGATCTCGGAGGCGAGAGCCTTTTCCTCCCGGAGCTCTCTTTTGCCTCCTCGCTTGGCTTTTGCCGGCCTCTCTTGCACTTGAGCGTGCAACCCTCCCTTTTATGAGTCGACGCGAACGAATTGCCTATTTAGCCTTGAATAATGTACTTTTAATAGCATGCTTGCAAGGGTAATCTATTTTGAAATCATACGCCTTGTGAGTTTCCTTTAATTTACCCGACGCAAATAAACAAGGCTAAAGGACGTAAAACTGCTGTGTAATGCATTGATTGGGGGCCTACCTGGCGCAACTACAACTACATTAAGCAATTGACTTTATTGAAAGGTGTTGAAAAAAGTAGAAAAGTCGTGTCGATTGAATGTAGGGATACGAGCGAGATGTGCGGCTGTGGCTGTCAAAGTAGATAGCTACCTGGTTGGGTCAGACGCGCGGCTAAAATTGGAATTCTTTTTTCTCTCAAAATTATCAAAAATTCTATGCTACAATTTATATTATTATTATTTTGTCGAGGTCTAATAAACTTTTATTTTTAAAGTCAAATAATGAGCATTGCGAATGTATCTCGTTTCCTAAATAATTTCACGTCATTTCAAAACCATTTCAAATGCTCCAAACCGAAGGAGAAAAACGTTCGACGATACGGCCTAAGGATATCGAGTAATTAAAATTCATTTATAAAAAACGAATGACTATACCGTTATCAATTTTATTGAGTCGTATTGAGGAGATATGGACACAAAGTCGCGTGCTCTTGTAACAAAGTGTCGATAGTACAAGCCTTGGAGCCGAACTAGCGAGCACCAAAATACGATTGTCCGATCAATAATAAAAATAAAATAAAATAAAATAAAATAAAAAAAAAAAGAATAATCTACCCAACATTCTTTATGGATGTACGTGATCGAAGGCGCATCTCGGTAGCCATTCATCATATGTTAAAGCTTCTGAAATGTATGTTGTCGTAAAAAGATGATTTTTTCAAAAAATGTTCAGAAATTTTAAAGAAGCACATCAATTATATGCCAGGATAATAAGATTACTATGTTAGTGGAGCAGAGTCCCGTAAATATAATCGTAAGAGAGTTTAGACATACTTAATAAAAAAATTATTGTTTTGAGGTAATGTTGGTGGAAATGATTTTGAAGAGGAGAAAAAAGAGGAAAAGAAGAGATTAAAGAAAACGTAAAAGATAGAGAAGGAAAGGAAAAAGATAAATAAAAAAAACGGCTTACGGAAATAAAAGTAACGTAACCTGCAAATAAAGAATATAATGTGAAAGCGCGTTTGCACTGAACAAACTAAAATTGACGAGCGTGGAGAGGCGTTACGTGAGCCACACTGGGAGTGTGCCATTGTCGTTGCCTACGTAATTTATGTGACTGAACATTGATAAGTTTCAGGTTTACAGCACTAGAACATATTGAAGGATAGTTTCCTGAATACTTTTTCAGGTCACATGTATTTCAGATTAATGTCTACCAAATGATAAACAAACGTGTACAAATGTGCAACGGTGTGAGACGAGTTTTGTTTTTTTTCGAAACGAGGATTAAAGGAATAAGGTTTTTACGCGGGCGAGCTCCGTCGCTCACGGGAGCTCAAGTTCCGGAGAAAGGATCTTCCGTATGCGAAGGATAAAATTTAATTGAAACATATTGATAAAGTTCCAGGTGCACTTTGTATTTCAATAAACTGCAATTTTCTGTTATTAAAAAGGTATGACAACGGAATTTATGTGACGTGGTAATTGCGTTAGCAGTATATTCTTGGTCGGGCGGGGTGAGGGGGGGGGGACATTTCCTCTTCGTAATATTCATCGCGGCGGCACGCGCAACGAAGTTATCATCGGAAAATGTTAATTTATTGTGATCGAATTGCATTTTTAAAAAATTTAAAATTCATGATGCTAAGTTATTAACTCAGCCGGGAAGGTACGGGATAATCGAGCGCGTAACTTTTCCCATAACAGCAATAAGTCGTTATTATTATTAATTTCCAAGAGATTGATAATTTTGATAAATTCGTTATTGAAATTAGAGCAGGAAGGGATAATTGATTCACGTCGCACTTATAACAGTCGGCTCGACAGCTCCGCAGCATGGGAAGTGAAATAATGGTAGTCGCGGCGCGCTCGCACGCTGTTTTAGAATTACGACGATTTAGAAGAGTCGGCGAGTGGGGAAGATGTTTTTTTTTTGTTACCTTTTTCGTGGTAATGCGTATGAAGGCGCGAAGCTGCGACGATTTCTTGCGAGAGACACGAGACGAAGCGAGAGGAAGCGATTATGGCCGTAGTACCGTTTTACCTGACGCGCGCACGGAGACGCTAACCGGCGCCGAGATCGGGACGTCCACACGCCTGCGAGGCCTTATGTCACATCGCTGGGATCTCCTATCGCGGGGGTGTCCCCGGTGTTGCCTTTTCCCTAGAATCACCATTCTAATGAGGGAGAGATCGACGGGAAAGCAACTCTCGGAAGATTTTTGCGCGCGTACGAGGAGCCGGCGAGCCTTTATTTTACCCGATGAACGGCGGTGAAAATGCATTAGATGCACGGAATCGTAAAAGTATAATTAATTCCCTAGGTAATGATTCATTATGGATATCAAAGGAGACATCGGCGATAAAAGCGTATTTACTATGCAAAAATGACTGATACGGCTGTCGACGGTTTTACGATTTTTACGATTTTACCCCAAGATTTTGCCCATTCCTTTTCGTGCTCAATTACTCCGGCCGTGGTCGAATCGCAGGCAGAGCAGTTTTTGTACACCCCGAGGATTATTATCCTTTATTAAATTGCAGATGTTTCATTAAACGAAAATTCGCCTAGCACGTAACGTCAGACTGATACTAGACATGCAAATACGTATGTGCGTATGTAATTTGAGATCAAACGGGAACATACCGCCCGATTCGCCTCTCAAGACATTTCCACGCTCTGTGCTAAGAAACACCAGGAGAATTAAAAACATTTTAATTGCGACAATTTTGCGCAAGAAATAGATTACCGTGGACGTGTATTTTGTTTCAGTCGAGCGTACAACAGGTATTTAAGTAAAAATAAAAGTACGTTAATCTAAATTCATTGCCAGCTGTAAAAGTGTACAACGGAACAATATTAAAAGTGATAGGCACTCTTCATCCGGTGCTGCTCAAAGCAAAAATTCTCTTATGCTCGTATGACTCCGGAAACGAATGGCACTCTATCACGATCCTGCAATGCTACACCGAATGCCATTTATGTACTTGCACTTTTCGTAAAACAACGGCTCTACCTCGTATACGACATTTCTTTCCTTACGTCATATAAATCAAGCAAATGTATAAGGAATGGAATGACTGGCGTGCAATAAAATAATAATAACATTAACGCAAAGCTAATCATTCCGATGAGACGTTAAAAAATGGATTCTAAAAATGATTGTTAGATGGATAACGTAATGTAAGAAGATTGTTACTTTAAACCTTTTACGCAAGCCTGCCATTATTGATAAGAAATAGGCTTTTGCTTGATTTTTGTCTCTACGTTATGGAAAACTTGATTTTATGTATGCAAATAGCTTAATAATATATGAAAGAACTTTTATCTCGACGTGCGTTGGATGACGAGAAAAAAAAAACGGTCGAGATGGTCGAGCATTAAAAGCTAATGTTCGTGTTTGAACTTGACGAACCAAATGAGCTCTGTCTGTCTATCCGTCTGTCTGTCTCTCTCTCTCTCTCTCTCTCTCTCTCTCTCTCTCTCTCTCTCTCTCCCTTCCTCCCTCCCTTCCATTTAATATTGTCTAAGCAAAAAAATGTAATAAATACGGCAAATACTATACTCGTAGAGATTGAATAAAAATCTTTATTACAATCACAAATCAACGCGAAATCTTATATAACATTTCTCATATTCAATAACAACTACCCTACGAGACTGATTTATTATTTAAAAATATTAACGCTATTGCGCATGTCACGTTATATTTGCTTATTTATACGATTGGTTTTGTCTCTTGTTCTTTAACATCATTTAGCTATTTATTAGTTGGAATTAAGCCTTGTCGATCAATAATATGATTTATCAAATGGAAAAATAAAATTTTATACATTATTTTAAATTATTGATGGAATCAAAGGAGAACGTCGACGAGGACTATTTGCAATATACTTGCTAAGGCTATAAAATAGCTATTGAAACGTCACTCATGCAAAAAAAAATCAATAGCATTGACTCATCATTAATCCTTCTCTTAACAAAATAAATGAGAAAATCAGTGCTATTGCCAATATTGTTCGTGTACATTTTTAAATTTTTATTTTATAAGCGATAGAGAAGCGAATGAAAATATTAATATCATTAATTTATGAGAAAAAGTATGGAAAAGAGTTGGAAGTATGGAATTTACGAGATGAAGTAGTTTAATTAATAATTTATTTGAATAGTAATTTGACATTTATTTCAACGGTGCGAGCATGTGAAAGCTTCATCGCAAACTTTCTATACTGCTCATCTTTTTTCATTTCACGATAAATAACGCGACACCCCCCCCCCCTGCCACCGGGTTGTACACTACGATCCGATTGTTTGTCTATGTTTCGTGGCAATATCACGCAATATTCATGGCCAGCTGGCCACCGAAATTATAAAGAAAAGTAATATAGAACGTACGCACGAGCCAAGAAGAGCAGTGTAATCTTGAAACAAAGTGTGCCAC